GGAGGGCCAACACTGTTCCGGGGGGCATCAGGCAAAGCATCACCAGCTGGTCACGGGAGGGGATTGTCCCGCTCTGTTCCGCACTGGTGCGGCCTCACCCTGAATATTGTGTGCAGTTTTGAGCACTGTAATATAAGGAAGATATTAAGCTACTGGACAGCATCCAAAGGAGAGCAATGAAGATGGTGAAGGGCCTTGAGGGGAAGCAGTATGAGGAGTGGCTGAGGGCACTTGGTCTGTTCAGCCTGGAGAAGACTGAGAGGAGACCTCACTGAGGTTTTCAACATCCTCCTGAGGGGAAGAGGAGGGGCAGGCACTGATCTCTTCACTCTCAGGAACTCGAGAACACGGCGAGAAGCTGAGCCAGGGGAGGTTTAAGTTGGATATCAGGAAAAAGTTCTTCACCCAGAGGGTGGTTGGGCACTGGAACAGGCTCCCCAGGGAAGTGGTCACAGCATCAAGCCTGCCTATTCAAGAAGCATTTGGACGATACGCTGAGGCACATGGTGTGACTCCTGGGGAGTCCTGTGCAGGGCCAGGAACTGGCCTCGATGATCCTGATGGGTCCTTTTCAACTCAGCACATTCTGTGATTGCGCTGTTTGGTCTGAGCCGACCCCAAAGCCCATGCAGAGCCCATGCAGAGCCCATGCAGAGCCCATGCAGAGCCCATGCAGAGCCCGGCAGCGCGGCCGCCGCCGCCCTCGCACACAACATGGAGCCTCCGCTGCCATTTCGCGGGCGCCGCTCCCCGCGCGCCCCATGTCCCGGGGGCGGGGCGGCCCCGCGCCGGCCCCGCCCGCCACGTGACGTCACGCACAGCGCGCGCCGCGGGAGAGCTCGGGGTACGCTCACGGCACCGCCCCCGCCGCGCATGCGCTGCACGGAGGGAGGCGGGGGCGGCACCGCCGGGGGCTGAGGGGTCACTCACCCGGAAGCCGCCGGGCCCCAGGCAGGAAGTGACCCCCGCGCGCGCGCCGCGACCAGCGGGCCCCGGATCCGCCCGCCCGCGCGGCCCTCGGTGACTTCTGTGACTGACGGGGCGGCTCCGCCCTGCCCGCCTCGCCCCGCCTCCCGTGGGCCCCGCGGCCAATCGGAAATGCGGGTTGTCCCTCCGTCTCCATCTCCTCCTTGACGGATGGATGCGGGAGCCAATCAGGCCGACGGCCCCGCCCCCGCCGCCCGCCAATGCGCGCCGCGCGATGCGGCTCTCGCGGTCTGGGAGCCGGGAGGGTGGGCCCGGCCGGGCGCGCGCGCCCCCGCCCCGGCCCCGCCGCCGCCCGCGCTCCTCGCCGGGGGAGCCGCCCCCGCCTCGCTGCCGCCCTGGGGGGGCTCCCACCGCTCCCGCGCCGGGGCAGCCTCGCCGCCCGCCACACGTTCCCTGTCTGGATGCGACACGGGGCGGGGAGGAGCCGCCCGGCCCGGGGGCTCCGCGCACTCTTAAGGTGGCCCCAGAGTCCGGCGGGAGCAGGACCGGTGGGCGTGTCCCCGGAGACGCGCGGTGGCGGCAGCGGGGGCTGCCTGTGTGAGGGCGGCGTGCGGGGGCGTCTGCGGGAGAATTCTCGCTTCGCCATCGGGGTTGGGGAGCCGGGTGGAGGTTGGTATCGGGACATAAGCGCTTGTCACATGAGGGATTCCTGTTGCTGAGACGGGGAGCGGTGGCTGGAGACGAAGTGTCTGCACTCCCGCATGTCCCGATCTGGGCCAGCAAACACGTCCCTTGACGCTTTTCCGACCTTTGAGACTCCTGAGCTCCCGGAAAGTCCAGTGGGGTTACCCACTGGTGGGTATACCAGGCACTGGTGGGGATACCAGGTATCACGGGCTTTCTTGTAGTTTGGATCCTAAACGTGTTTAAAGTGCCGAGTTTTAAACCACCAGTTTTGGCTTCTTGATTGTGTAAGATGCATCCTTACCCAGGTAGGTATGTCGCTTCCATAGAGTACTCTGAGGAGTCATTCAGAGCTCGTAACGTAACTAAAGTAAATTTTTACATATACGTTTACAGAGTCACAGAATCAATTAGGTTGGAAAAGGCCACTGAGATCATCTTGTCCAACCTGTGACTCTGCACCACCATGTCAACTAGACCATGACACTAAATGCCATGCAGTCTTAAACACTTCCACGGACAGTGACTCCACCATCTCCTTGGGCAGCCCGTTCCAATGTGTAATCAACCTTTCAGTGAAGAAATTCTTCCTAATGTCCAACCTGAACCTCCCCTGGAGCAGCTTGAGACTATGTCCTCTCATCCTGTCACTAGCTGGGAGGAGAGGCTGACCCCCACCTGGCTACAGCCTCCTTTCAGGTAGTTGCAGACAATAAGGTCACCTCTCAGCCTCCTCAACACCCCCAGCTCCCTCAGCCATTCTCATACTTACACACAAGTACATAAAATAAAGGATTTCCTAGATAAAAAGAGGTTTTGAAAAAAAGCCACAAGCCAAATGCCAAACCCTAGGCAGGGAGAAAGACACCTTAGGGTACCTGCATGTTACACGGCATTGCTGAGATGCCTGTTTACTACTAGTTGCAAATGGAAGGAACAGTCCTCCAGTCAGGATGTGGAAGAAAATTCCTTCCCAAATACTGAGAGTTTCAATGTCCTAACTGCCAAAAAACAAAGCCACCTCCTACACCTTCCTGGATGCCAGAAGCCCCAACTGCCCGCTACCCATCTGTCAAAATTTACAGCTCTCCTTAGACAAATATTAACAATTCAGTCATGCACAAAACCAGTGGCATCTTGAAAAAATTGGAAGAAGCATAAAATACACGGAATGTAATGTAAAAATAAGTTACATGGTGACTAGTTTACTTTTTTCCCCCATGTCTCCATCTGCTCTATCTTCTACTTAGCTTGGAAAGTCTTTGGGATGTGTCTTTGTTCTCTGAATGCTAAATATTATGATGGATCATGATCCATTCACCTCTGTGTGTCTCTGCCACACTATCCTTTGCCCTGCCTCCCTAGGGCACTTTTTATGTTGGATGCAAATTTTTATATTTACATTCTTTCAAGTGGCGGAACAAGTTAAGTTACATCATGTATTTTTATTGTCTATAAAAAGCAGGCAGTATTTCAGGTATTCATTTGGGAGAGAGGATCCTGAAATCAAAATGAAAAATAAGTAGGGAAGACACACTGGATGCCTGGCACACGTCGAGTCCAACCGCAGCTTTTTAACACCTCTGCAGCTGGCTACAGATCAAACAACTCAGAGATACCACCCATCAGTGCCTCCCAGCACAGTGGTGCTCCTGCCTTGTCTCCCGGCAAAGAGGAGCCCGAGCACTGTATGGACACAAATCCCAGCTAGAGGGGGACTGGGTGACTTCGTATGGAAATAGCAGAGACCCAAAGACCACATAGCCTAAACAGAAGTCCAAGGAGGGGCAGAAGAACAAGGGAACTGAAGCTATGATGTTCACCCAGGACTGAAGTAAGGCTAGGAGAAAGGACAGAGTTCTGCTGTAGTGGTGGGAGGGAAAGAGGTGGTTGTTGGCCCTTGGTAATGATCAGGAACACCATAACGGGGTCTGTAATGAGATAATATGAATATGGGAAAAGGGGCAGGGAACCCTCCTTGAAAGAGGGAAGAACACGTAAGTAGCATAGGGAGAAGAGCTATGACTAGAGCTGCTGGCATTGGAGCAGAAGAATGGTTTGGTGTGGAAAAAGGAGGACATATAGCATCTTGAGAGGATGGTGACTGACTTCCTGAAATGAGAAGGCATTGAACTTTGGCACAGGTTTTGACAGGTTGAAGGAATGCAAGGAGTCATTGCAGGTGCAATGGTAAACTAAGCCCTGCAGAAGCAGCAAATATTACAACACACCTTCTACCATCAGAACAATTTCCAGAAGGAAAAAAAATTACTCAGAAAATGCCATTTCCTCCCAGCATGTGTGCTGTCCTCTGCTCCAAACCTTACAGAAGTGCTACCATTTAGGATGCAGATGCAAAACTATCTACAAAAAGAAAAGATTATCAAATGCAAGGTGTCTTTCAGAGAACTGGGGTAGGGACCCTGAGGGAGGCTGTTTCACGGTCGTGCATTTCAGATTGACATGTCAAAGCGACCTGCCTATGACACTGGCATCAGGTGCAGGGGGACGCCAGGCAGCACCTGCTCCTTCCTACATCCACATTTTGGAGTATTTGGTCTACTTAGTGTGCTTCGCTGCACAGTCCTCTTTAATGCTATAAATGCTATAATGCTATAAAATAATGGCCTTGGTCTGCAGCCCTGAGACACCCCAATATGAGACTCCCAGTTTTCAGGCAACTGGGTTAAAGTGGGACAATGCTGTATGTAATTTGCAGAATCACAAAATAGGTAGGGTTGGAAAGGACCACAGTCAGTCATCTGGTCCAATGTCACTATTCAAGCAGGTCATCCTAGAGCACGTGGCACAGGACTGTGTCCAGTCAGTTCTTATTCATTTCCAGTGAGGCAGATTCTACCTCTCTGGGCAATCTGTTCCAGTGTGTAGTCACCTGCACAGCAAAGAAGTTCTTCCTCATATTCAGGTGGAACTTCCCATGCACCATTTTCTGCCCATTGCCTGTTTGTTCTAGTGGTTGGTATCACCGAGAAACGCCTGGCTCTATCTTCTTGGCACCTCCGCTTTAGATATTTATATACATTAATGAGGTGAATTAATGGGGTTTCCTATATGGTTCTAGCTGGTTGTAACAAATAGGAGAGATAGCGATGAGACTTTTAATAGGGTTGTGGCGATCTGGTGATGTCCCTGCAATAGGTTATTGACAAACACGAGGCGTGAGGGAAGATTACCAGAGACGGAGAGAAGAGTTGTTTTGCGGTGGAAGTTGACCCCGAGCATCCCGGACTGGAGCTGGGCACAAGCACTGCGTGGGCGGTGGGAGCAGCGCGGGTCACCCACGACGGAGACCCCGACCCAGGGCCCGGGCAGCCGTCTGGGAGCCGGGAGGGTGGAGGAGCCCCCGGGCGGGGGGCGATGACCGGCTGTCGCCGGGGTGATCCCGCCAGCTGAGGGGCGGCAAGAGGCGGCTGCTGGCAGCGCCCTCGGGGGCGAGGGCCCCGCGGCCACCGCCAGGGTGACTCGAGCCCCGGTGCCGGGGATGGTCGGGGCCCTGGCCGGTCCCCGCGGGCAGCCGGCTCCCCCCCTCCGGCCGGCAGAGCAGGTAGGCAACCGCACCTCCCCCGGCCCGGCGCCTCCTTAACCCGGGGAGGCGGGGGCGGCCGCGGCCAGGGGGAGCCGGGGGAGGCGGAGCGGCGGCTGGGGAGGAGCCGGGGCCTGCAGTGGAGCCGCAGCCCGGAGCAGCAACCGCGGGAGCGGCGGGGCCTGGAGAGACTCAGCGCCGCCCGGGCCGGGCCCCCGCACCGGAGCCCGGGGAGCGCCTCGCGGACGAAGCCGCGGCCCGGCGGAAGGCGGCGAAGGCGCCGCGCAGCCCCGCGCAGGCCCGTGAGCCGCCGCGGCCTCCCGTGGTAGCCGAGCCCGGGCAGGAGGAGCTGGGGCCTGGGGGGAAGTCAGGGACAGCGGCCGCGGTGGGGGGACACCCCCGTAGCCTGCCGGGGTGGGGGAGAGACCCTGCCCGCCGCCCCCCGCCCCGCCCGCAACCCCGCCGGGCAGCCCCGCTCCCGGTGCGGGGACACCCCGGCGGCCCCCCCTGCCAGGCCCCTTCCCCGCAGCTGGTGAGGAGCTTAACACTCGCCCCCTTCCCCACTAACGAGCCAAGGCTGCGCAGAGGCCCCCGGCACACAGCCTAGGCAACTGTCTAGAAGGAGGTCTGCTCTTCCTCGCTGTGGGACAGTCTTCTGGAGCTCCCTCGATACGAAGGGAGAGGTGTCCTCAGATCCCAGTTTCTAAGGATTGTGAGAATAACCCTTAGCACCTACTCCCCCCTGCTACTGAGGAAATTCCTCCCTCAGGCAGAGCGGACAGCCCTTCCCCAGACCAGATAGTAACAGGGGAGTCTTCACAGAAGGAATCCTGTATGCCCAAGAGAGGCAGTCCCCAAGACAGAAATAAGCAGGAGCTCCAGATACTTACCTAGTAATTTTAATTATTTACATCTACTCAGCAGGCGGCAAAGCGAAACAAGGGAGAGAAAGCAGAGGCAGATTTAGCTTTTCTTTCCTTTTCCAGTTGCTGGTAACTGGAGATAAAGGTAATTTCCAATACTGATCCCATCCTCCTTCATCCCAAGGAATATCCCTCATCCCTTAATTCTAAGAGGGTTTTCTTCAAATACCCTGTGCAAGGAGAGAAGACACACCTCCTAGTTACAGGGAAAGGAAAAGACAAATTTCGCCGATAATATCCACAGAGATAGCAAGAATTTTTTCAGAGAAAGATATTTGCCCACCTTTAAGGACAAGGTGTACCTAGACAAAAGAAAAGAGAGATTTCCAGGTAGGGAAATTGGGGAAATTGATTTCTGAAATAATCTGACTGTCAGTAAAAAGGCTGTCTCCCGGGGGAACACCCCTTTGGTACTTAGCTGCCAAAAGGAAGAGAGGATCTCCATCCCAGGATAAAACCAGCTGTTTTAGGGAACTGACTATCCCAAGCAGATTGTTTTAATACTCAAGATCCTGATTTCATCCACAATCCTTTCACCCTCAAAATATTTCTTGAAGAAGCTCTTGGAATAGCTGACAGCAACACTCTGAGTATGGGTCTCAGAGAAGGAGTGTGAAGGGCAGCACCCCAGCAACCAGCACTGAAGATAATCCGCCTCCCTCCAGAAAATCTTCCAGACAGAGTGAGTGACCACATTATATCACTTCTTTATTCCTAGCTGTCCTTCTCTCTCACCTTCTGTCCTTGTTTTCCATGTCTTTTCTCTCACTGTATCTGCTTTCCTTTTAATCTTTTCTCTCCTTCTCTTTCTGAACCTTTCCCCAGGCTTCTTTCTCTGTGTGTCTTTCTCTGTTTCCCTCATTTAGCTCCCTTATATGCTGTATGGAATTGACCTGATTCTTTCCCTCACTATTTAGCTTATGGGAGACCTTATCCCTATTTAATTGTAAGAAACCTCTCTGCCCTTTCCCTTCTACTTTTTTTTCCTGGTTTATTCATCCTGGGCTCAGCCTGTTTCATCATCGGTGTGAATTAGTTTCTGTCATTTAGGGGTCATTGAGAAGGGTAATACTGGCCAAAAAAAGCTTTGAGGAGACAGGAGCAGTGATTTCTAGTGCCAGTGTCCAAGGATGCACTCATGGGGTGGAGTTCTCCGTGTGGGTTCTACTGTGCTTGTAACTGAGAATAAAATCATTGTGCGATGCATACCTCACTGTGCTTGGGATCCAGAGGTACAGATCCCCATGCAAGTGCTCTGAGACGTGTGTCCTAATGTACCTGAGGGACTGTGGGATGAATTCTGGAAAGAGTGCCCTTGAGAGTGGGTTCTATGGTGCGCAGGGGCCTGGGAATGAAAACCGTGACAGTGCTGGTGGACCTGCTCTGAAAGCCGAGAGAAGCCATGCGGTTGCCACCAGTCTTCGTTTGTGCTTTATGCTGTGTTCAGAGGCTAGGAACATGAATCCTAATGCTGGTGCTATGTGAGCTGAGCTGTTGCTTTTTGTAAATGAGGCAGTTAATTCCCAGTCACAAATGAGTATTCTGACACCACTGTAGTGATTTCCTGAGAAATCAAGTCTGAGGGAGATTTCATCTCAAATGAAGCCAAAGCAGATTCCAGTAGTAGAAGAATCATGCCTAAGGATATCTCACCTGAAGTATTCTTGTTTCTGTTCTCCAGTGAGATATCAGCGAGGAAATCCAAGATCAAAAGGGCCAGGGCAGGAACCCTTTTAGAAGCCTTTTGGGAGAGCAATGGTTAAACAGGGAGTCCCTAAAGAAGGAACTCCTTGGTGTAATGTGCTAGCCAGATCAGACAAAAGATGCCAGAGTGATTCCCCATTTTGGCAGAGGATTCTGTCAGTTATCCATAGCTTCAGAAGGCGCCTCTTTCTAAGGGAAGGCTGAACCACCTAGCATACATATGTTCTGGGGGTACTGTTAGATGCCCTCCTACCTGTTGCCCTGTAGTTATGCAATCAGCCTGTTTTGAGTACAGCTGTGTTATCTAGCACGAGGAAAGAGATAACTGAGGCATTTTGGCCTTTGTACATTCAAGGGGGTAACTGACTTTTCATGCTCCTGAGGTTAATTTACCTCATGCTGCCCCCTTCCTCACAGTAATGACTTGACATTTTTCAAGTGCTTTTGGCTCTGATGGATTGCAGAGCACTTTACGGAATATATATGCCAGTCTTAATAAAATTCTGCTCTTCCACAATAATTATCTTTCTGCATATGAAACATTTTTTTTCCTTCTATTAATGATAAAGATTAAGATTTTTGTACTTGCTGCCTGAGTATTAAATATTCATGACAGACATACAAGGCTGAAAGTGGTGTGCTGTAGACTAATTGTTATATATTTGTTAATTGCTGACAGAGCATGAAGTAGTGACTTGGACACAAAATTAAGACAATCTCTGCTCTGAAGATCTTGTAGTCTAAAACGCAGCTATGCAAAAGCTAGGACGTACTCATAAATTTAAGGGAAAAGGGAATAATTTTTAGAGAGCATAGCTCTTCAGTGTGATCATGTGTTCACATCAAGTGTTTGTCACAGGTGAAAATGCAGCTTCCTCTGAGATGGAATACTGCAGCTGTTCTGCACCATTTATTTTATACAAAAGTATTCGTAAAAGAAAAAGGAAGAGTATTATTTGTCTTCATGAAAGTGCAAGGTACTTTATAGACACATTTAAATGAAAGTGCTATGTCTATAAGAGTTTACATTAAGAATATTAAATCTGAATACCTAAAATTAGATTTTAAAAACCACATTAACGTACCTAAGTAAATAGCCTAATTCTTGTAAATCCCCAGGAACATAGAGTTGGCTTCAACAGAAGGAATGAAGTCTTCAACATTTGAGTAAAGAGACACTTAGCTATGTGTGTATGGGTTTGTAAATTTAAATCTGGACATTCATGCTTACAAAACTTGACTTTTTAGATTGAAGCAGTCTGATCCTGTCCTATGGGCACTCAACTCCCGTCTAAGAACTGAGTGTGTGGCATTTCTCAGGTCAAGTCCTTGAGTAAAATGAAATGAGATGGTATAGAGAGTTATGGGAAAAGGATTATGTTATGATCAGGAGGTTATAATAGTGTTTAAGTATGTGTTCTATAAGTTCTTGGGTTTTATCTTGAAATCTGCTTTTGTAGGCAAGTTTCTAAGATAGAATAAGGAGTCTGAAAAGTTGGAATGAAAGAATGAAATACAATAAACAGTTTGAGGAGTTTGGATGTAATTTCCCAGTCCAAGACAGGGTTGTGACTATTTTACTTCTGGTTTGGTTTTTTGTTGTTTTGGGTTGGTCCCCCCCCCTGAAAATACAGCTGGTGTCTTCAGAGAAGTTTATTCTTACCACAGAGGCACAGGTTACAGCTTACTACCTCCTCCCCTAAACTTCAACTGACCTTCATGTAGTGGGAGATTCTGTCTGCATCCCAGTTAGGATCTTTGGCCTTTTACTTCAAGTGTCAGAAAGGAGGTACGGTTAATGGCAACTGTGATATGGACAGCTGTCCCTCAAGAGCAGGACTGGGCTGATTATCTCATTTTACACAGCTGTCAGAGAGGAATTAGATCTTGGTCGTTAGCAACCAGATGATGAAAAATGCTTTTGGACTAATTTTTCCATTTGCTTCTCCCAACCTTGGGTAGAACTGTAACCAGTGACTTTCACACAGAACCCTCTATGTTATGTAGTACTCCATTTGCAGAATATGTTTCTGATTGATGCTTCAGAATTGAAACTTCAAAAAAACATTGTTTCTAGCATTTGCAGCCTGGAAGACAATTTAGAAAAGATGAGTAGTCCATAGATTAATGGACAGCCTAATATGGTATCTCTAACGTGTTTTGACTCTCCAGTTGTGTTAACTCTGAAGCCTGAAGAAAAGCCTTTAACTCACTGTATTGCTGGCAGTTGTACATTTTATTTTAGCAAGAATATCCAGTTGATGTGTTCCACCTCCAAATGCTTATCATCTTGGTAGGAGGCAGTATTGGTACTTGCTATCTGTTCTGCTGGTTTTGTTTCCTTCTTCCTTCTACGGGATATAAGATGAACCTAAAAATCTATAATATGTTTCTTCCTGTACTCATGTTATGTTTTTCACTTTTAAGTCCGTCTATGTATTACTGAGAGAAAGCAACCATGCTGCAATATGCTTTCACAATTAATTAATTGTGAATTTTCATTTTAAGTTTGAAATGAAAATGCATAATACTGGGAATGTTTCAAAATTCAGAGATCTCACAACCAAGTTTAGGACCAATTTAATGTTGTATCCCGTGGTGCTTTGCCAAGATTTGGACTAGACTGTTGTTTTATCCTTCTAGTTTTGACCTGCCCAATCTTTTACCCCATCCTATTAAGGACCTTAGAATTGTCTTGGAGGCAGACAGCACAGATATTGCTAGTGCCTGACCTTTGTGAACCCTTTCCTGAACTCCTGGGTTCTGTAGCATCGCATGACACTCGAGTTCCTCTCCTGCATCTTTAAGGCCCAGCATGTTTCCACCCTGCCTACTTCTTGACTTGCATTTCCTCCTACACCCCACTCCTCCTCTCAGCTGTCCCTGCTCTTTGCATCTCGTTTCCCTTGCAGTCCCTTTGGCATTCTGTCCTCTGGTCCTACAAGCCTAAAATGCTGCTTTTCGTCAAGTAAGCATCCCTCGTCTCCTCTCTAGGATTCTTCACTGGCAGGAATCCTTTCTTACTATGTCTCGCAGGTTCTGGTCTTACCTGTATTTTGACCTGTTCCTAGTTTGGCTTTCATTAGATTATATGCCTGATTTTTTGTCTGAGGTTATCTCAAGAAACTTTTTTTTTAATCAGTGAAAATATCCAGTTCTGCTTGTCTGTGAAGTGTCACTTTGTCTCCACATTCTCTTACCCTTCCTTTTCCTCTGGCCCCCTTTGTTCCTCAGGAATTGCTAGATTTTGGTTGATTAGAATGAAAACCCCTTGCATTACATTTTCTGGTTCCCTCTAGCACTTGAGGATCTTGGTCTTCAGAACTGAGGTGAACAGTTTGTTCAAGGCCCAGTACCTCATTCCTTATCTTTCTGAGCTGGTCAGTTTATTTGATGTGAAGTCAGGAACTAAGGGAATGTATGTTCTTTTTTTGGCCTTTTTTATGTATAAGAGAGACCGAGTAATGAGGGACAGGGTGAGATGATGAGTGAGAGCTTTTATACCTCGAGGAAAAAATATTTGCTTTTTTGTTTTTTACAATTAGCAATTCAAATTTTGTTTATGCTCTCTGCTGTATAAAGACTGTGGCTGATTATAGCAGAAATATGTAATTACTGTTAAAAGTTCAAATCTGAATAATTGGGAAGGAATCTGAACTCTTTGTGGTCACAAATTAAAGGAGCAAAGTTTCTGAATTCTCAGTTTCCCCCTAGAAAACTGTGGTTAAATAAAACCAAGACAAATTCTCCCTCCTCATCAGGAACTTGCACAGAAAAGTAAGCAAGCTACTAAAATAGTTACGTCTGAAATTCCCTTTATCTGAACAAAGCAGACAAGCTTTGAATGTAGAGAAATGGTCTGGGATTTGGGAGACCCATGTTATCTGCATGGTTCTGCTACTCCTTTGCTGGCTGACCTTGGGCTGCACGCTTCTCCATGCATGGCTTCCCATTTATCCTGGAATAGGTTATTGTAAG